ACGTAAACGACGAGTTACAAAGGTATTTATGTGCCCTTTACAAAAATATATAATTTGTGCAGATTGCACTTCATTGCATTTACATTTCTAATCCGCTTTTCATTATCTTAGGCTCAAAATTTACTGTAATGATATATCTTCTTTATCGAATTTTTAAACTAATGAAAAAAATAATCAAATAAAACAGTGTATTTAATTGAAAATCTCACTTTTTTCGACTTTGACGACAAAATGAAAATGGTCGCCTGTAGCACTAATAATTTTCATGGAAGTCGCCACAAGTTATATATTTTGGTAAGAGGCACATCAATATCCTTCGAGATGTAAGTCGCTTACGTTGATTGGGAGATTTTTTCATGAGATATTGAAGAAAAGCTACGAAAAGTACCAAGAAATACTTTTTTGAAAAAATCCATCCATTGTCCGATAATTTTAAAATAACGAATAAAATGCGGGACAAATGCAGGACACTTGGAAAAAAGCAGTACATTTTAAGGTTTTTCAGGTTTGAAAAACTACGCAGGACCTACCTTTGAAAAACAGTACGGTCCTGCAAAAAACAGAACGGATGGTCACCGTACTTATGCCGAACATCATCAAAAGCTGTTATCCATTTTTTTGTTCATGCGGTCATGTTACCTTTTATACCGTCAAAGGCTATCCATGTAATTTTTCACAACTGCTCGACAGCAGCTCAAACGTTTGCTTATTGGAGAGCAATACGAGTAATAAAAAAGTGGACGAGGGCTTTCAACAAGTGTCTTGGCGCCTTGACGCTGCAAAAATTATCAAAGTGATGAACGTAACATTGAATGCATTTCAGTTTTTAATCAACCAAACTACATGTGAATGTACAGTTATGATTATAAATAATGACACACCTATGTATGAATGTACATACCCTGTGGGGGAAATCTCTAGTTCTGAACTGGTGCGCTTCTAGTACATTTAGACCCAGTACTGGTTCGCGATAAATCTCTTTTGTATGCAGGTGAAGTGTCAATTGCCCCCGCTGCATCCCTTTTTCGATAGTTCCGAACTAGTCATAAATTCTATACTTCCGAACCAGTTTTAAAATCGACAGACGAAAGAAAAAAGTATCATAATTCTTTAGTCTTTTTGGTTCTTCCGTGTGTGCGATTTTAAATTACTTATTTTCAATTTGAACTTACATTTGTTTGAATGATTGTAAGAAATGTACGTTTACATACCTTTAGCTGTAGCTGAGTTTGCAGAGGTACTCGCTGTTATTTCTTAGATTCCAGACGGTCCCAAGATGTTGAAATGTTAACACAAATTGTAGTTTTATACTACCAAACTATGAAAAAGCATCTGCGAAGCACAGAATAGAAGCGTATTTGAACGAAAAAGCCGCCGAACACATATCTATGTAAAGTAAACAAGCCCCGGCCCCCCCAATGCATCCCTTATTCGATAGTTCCGAACTAGTTCTAAATTCGACAAATAAGATCTAGTTCGTTCTGCATCCCCTTTTCTATAGTTCCGAACCATTTCTAAATTCGTCACTTTAGATATAGATCTCTAGTGAAAAAACTGAAAAAAATAGTTTTTTAAAAGTACCACTTTTCGCCGCTTTTGGACTGGTGGTCATCTAGTTCCTATCGGACCAGTTCCTTTTTGGCGACAAAGACCTAGTACGGAACTAGAAATTTGATTCACTAGTCCGCGGCTTCCCTGCAGGGTATGGATGTGTGTGTACCTACATACTACCCATTCCATGAAGAGCCAATAGACCAAGTTCAACACTAGGTATGTAGATACCTACACATATCTACGTATAAATGTAGATAAATATGTAGCTGAGTACGATACTTGTCACAGTAATCTTTGTTTAGTTGATTAGCCGGCTATAAATACATAAATACATATGTATGTATGTAGGTGTGTATAGAAGTACATATTGATACATACAGACGAATATTCATGTACATATGTACATATGTATAAATAAGTACGCACACATATATATCTGTGACGTCATATACACATAAAACAGGTATGCAGCTAAATATCTCAAAGGATGTATAGATATGTCTGTACGTTCTTGAAGTTCTCGCAGAGCTACATATGTATCTTATGTCCCAACAGAGATAATTAAAAATAAAAAATTTATTGATATTCATTCCAAATCATTCTTCTTCTTGTTTTGCTCTACAACCGTTCGTCGGATTTAGTCGAGACCAAACAACTTCACTGAGTGCCTCTCTCTTGTGCGAGTTCAGGTCCTTCTACAGTTGGTCCTTCCATTGTGTTCGCGGGCGCCCTCTCTTTCGGTTTTTACACAGTCGAAGGATCCTTTCACCGGAGCGTACAACATGTCAAAGCCAATGTCCAATTGTTGAATTTTTTTGCGCTTAAGTATCCATGTCGTTTAAAAGCTCGTACAGTTCGTTCAGGGCCGTGGAAAGAAAACTCGGGCCCCGGACTGACAAATCACGGGCCCCTCTACATAAATTGTATTAATTTAAAAGCATATTAGCAATTGTGATTTTCCATGTAGGGTTTTTTTTTTAACGTATAACAGCCTATAACGAAGTTGTAGTTTCTAGCGGAAATATCTACAAATATTTTTTTTTTTATAATTAATTTTTTTTTTACTAAAATGTTGATTATAAATATAAGATAATTTGACATAATTCAAAATCAGTTAACAAACTCAATAAAATCATAAGTCTGTATTTATTTTGTGATCAATTAGCACTTTTTATGTATAGTTTCTGATATCACAGGCCCCTTGTAAATCCCGGGCCCGGTGGGGTTCCCCCCATTTTGTTCGTTCAGAAAGAGCTCTGCTTTTCAATTGCCTACCGGCTCTCGTTTATTCAGGTTAAGTCTTGAATGTACTCGTCGATGTCGATTTCATCAAAAAATAACCCTCGTAAGTCCAACTCCAGCTACGTTGATCACAGTGTTTTTTTTTTTGAAAAGATGTTCCTCGCAAAAATTCTGTGCTCAGCATAGCTGGAGTTAGACTTACGAGGGCTACTTTTTCATGAAAAAATTACATCGACGTCGCTACCGACAACCATAATAGGGCCGATAATGTTTCCGATTATGCAAATGGTTTGGATAAATTCGTTATATAGAGGTTGGAAATACTTCACCTTTTAAGTTAAGGCTGCAAAAATTTTATATAGGAATTCGTTTCACGGAGAACAAAATACGCTAAAAGCAGAATGAAAAAGCTACAATCTTAAGGTTCATTCGCAGGAGAGAAGACCTCGTTATTGACAGCAAAATCTTTCTCTCGAATACTCCAAGAGCCAATTCTTCGGATGTTGTCATTGTCCATGCTTCTGCGACATATATTAGCACGGGCAGGAGTACGAGTATTACTGCAGTCAAAATAACAGCAGTGGGAAAACATCCACTTATATACAAGTTTACGTGGGTATATATGTATGTACATATATGTTATATGGATGTTAATTTTCGGGATTTTCGAGATGTCGCTATCACAATCCCGGCATCCCCTGCTTGGTCCCGTGCTTGGTCCCGGGATTTAGATATTCACTACTTTTCAACAACTTAAATCGAAAAAATTGCTTCTAAGTATATTGTTTGAGAAGCTCTCCTACCATAAAATAAATTATAAATAAATGCGTTTGAAACCTACTTTTTAACTTAAAGTGGCGTTTTTATTATTCCTCTCTGACGTCAGGATTTATTTTAAAGGACTTTGTAATTTCAAAGATATGTTAATTCCAAAAATTATTTTTTAAAAAACTCAATGTAATATATTTAAAATAAAAATACCAAATGCAAGAAGAACCTACTAAAGAATTAAAAAAAAATATTTTTTTGGATTCACAAGGACGAATAGTTAAATTTTTAAGCTGATAAAGTTAGAAGGAGGAAATTCGTGGATGTTATCGAGTTTATATAAGTCCTTAACATATAATTAAAAAAAAAAAAATTACAGTTTCAAGGATAAAATTTAAAAGGACATTTTCAATACTTACCAGTCCTTCTACACCAAAAAATTGAATCTGCCTAAATTCTACAGAATTTCCCCTTTAATTTGATACCCATACTTCTTCTCTAAGCGCATTTAACTGATTTTTTTAAATCATTGTTGAATTACTGTCGTCAGAGTGAAAAACTAAAAATGCAATTTTACTATAGTTGACCCACGGTTTCGCGAATATATTGATATTTGTGTGTAAAATTTACTATCACATACATACATATGTACGTAAGCATTTAAATAATTTAATAACTTTTGAGTTTTAAGAATTCTTTTTTTGCTCTAGTAAAATTGTGATTTGTTTTATTTTTTTTTTATTTTTAAGATAACTTTTTATTAAGCCCTCATTTTCGGTTAAAGTGGCTGACCTAACCATTTTTCAGTCCGAGTAGTTTTTGAATAAGTTGGGAATTTAATAAAGGGTGGTTTTGTAAATTACCCGATCAGGTCTACACACAGCCTGTGCTATGTAGGCCAATTAGAAAGTTCGTGGAAGCACTTGGGCAAATTTTTACGTATTCAGTTTTTCGAGCGATAAATTATCGTGGTTGGGTTGCTTGGAAAAAGAATAAAATTATTCATGTATTCATGAATGGGCAGTTATATGGTTTTACAAACCGATACAAATGTTGTGAGACCATCGAGTCATCAGTGCAACTACCAGACTTTTATTGGGTGAACGAACTATTGTATCCGAACATAGAAAGGCTGTTTTAGGAGCGAAACCGCTCAGTTATCGGCAAATCAACGTATAGTATCCAGATCTCGTCAAATCGTGCCCGATATGCATACATATATATGTGTGCTCAAAGGAACTCTCCACATGTGATTTTCATATTCAACATTTCAACAGATATTATTATAACTATTATAATTGAACTGATTGCACACGAAAGGATATAGAGATAGCTATTACCAACTCTGAGGGCAGAGGGAAGAAAGTGCTCCGTGCGGATGGTGACACATGTCGGCACAGCCTCGAAGGGAAACCCGGTAATAATCGCTTCTTCCAGACTACACCTCAGAACCCAACACTACTTCACACTCCCTTCAACCTGAGCGTGAACCACCACGAAAAACAAGAAAATATGTCATCCCAGTCAAACACAGCCAATAGCACTCAATTTAAATCGAACACTCAACAAAACCTACAGGTGAATAACCATTTGGATAAAATGTCCGTTCGATCGCTCAGTTCGGAAGATGTCTCTACAACAGTGGAGGGCAAGTGCTGTAGTGCTGCAGCCAGGAACCCGGCAATCAAAACCGGACGTCGAATTCAACTGATGCAGGTAAAGGTCACACTGGTGTGGCATAAGTGACGTAAGATGACCTATATTCAAAAATAATATATTTTTTTTTGTTTACTTTTTGCTCGATAAATTTGTGTTTAGTTAATTTTAGTTTGCAATGGGTTCGTCTGTACTTACATACATAAATATGTGTAAATCAGTAGTGGGCAGAGCAAACTTTTACTTTGAGCACGTCTTCAAAAAAATTTAAAGAAAGCTTCCAAGAGCTCGGTAGCATGTAAAAGGTGATGCCCATCACTGTTGTAAATAGGTCAAAGTTATTTCACTTACATACATACATATTTACATGTTTCCGCGATCAGACTAGCCTACTTATTATAAAATCAAAATTTATTTTCTTTGATTTTTCGGTTGAAAGATATGTAAATCGTTTAGCCCTCTGTGTACAAAGGTAATCAATGTGAAATTATCTGCTTATTTACTTATTTCAGATGATAATCTTGCCATTCATTCCAATACTGGCATTAATTGTTCAAACATCTGTTATTCTCCAAGAGATTCTCGACTACAAGGCAGAAGTAGCCGATATCGAAACACAAGTGAGCGATTCTGGTTTTCACACTTCTTACAATCGGTATATGTATATGTATGTGTGTACATATGTATGTAGATTTATATATGAAAATGCATATGTATATGTATATTGAAAGCACAGGGGTAACCGTAACAATTTGTTCCGTCAATGTTGCCAATAATGCCCATTCCCTTTGGATTTGTTAAATGCTGTACAGGGGCGCCGTCAGGCGATTTCCTTATTCAAGAAAATGTATATATGTAAATAAGTACACTGCAAAAAGTAACATCAGAGTTCTTTTCACTTTTTCCATGTTAGTGATTTTAATGTCGTATTTTTTTTTTTATTGAGCTAACTGAAAACTGATTTTACTGTCAAAATGTACAAATTTGAACAAATGTACCAATCGTGTCATTTCGACTTTAGACATCCTAGTTTCGATTGCTGTGAGCGTAAAATATGTTTCAAGTAA